TGGTGCAGGAGGCAGTGGGGAATGTGGCTGCCGGGAAAAAAAGATACCTCCGTGACAGCGATGATCACGGCGGGCCATAATGTACCTCTTAAGACGCAAATGCTGGAGAATAGCCCCCGAAGTCCACCAGATGACGGGGTGCTGATTCGCTAATCACGGCATGTTGGAATCGGACAAGGCGACGGGCAAGGTTCACAGGTACCAAGGGCCAGTAGGGGCGTTTCAGAACCATTGCAGTGGAGATCTTAACAGTAACATTAAGACGGGACGACAGCGCTGTTCCTTCTGGAAGAAAAAAAGGGACGGCTTTCCTTGGCCTGGCACCTGGGCCTTGACGGGAGACGTTGGACGCTGGAACAGTAGCACTGCGCACGGCAGGTGGGCGGGACTCCATTTGAAGTGCAATGTAGGTATCGTACTTTGACACTGTACATGCATACATAGTAGTGTATGTACGGGTGCTGGCTGTCTGTCAGTCAGTCAGTCTTTTCTCGTCAAGTAGGTACCTCCCTTACTTGACCCTACCAAGGTAAGTTGTGGGTGAAAACGGAGTCGAACAAGACGCCGCCGCCCCCAGGGAACATTCCATAGAGTGCCTATCAGTGATCACAGATTAATGTGGACAATATGCACTACTCCGGATGGTACAAGCGCCACCGGTAGCCCTACCCAGGGGGCTCTTCCCTGGAGCTTGGAAGATGGGATATTGCCAAGGGAGGGAAGTCCCAAGGACGGACATTTTGTGGAAAGGCATCTGCGAATCCAGAGTGGCATGAAGGTGTTTGGGGCTGCTCTCACAGGCTCACAGCAGCCAGAAAAGAGAGAAGGAGGGAACATCCATGAGCAACTTACCCGAGAGTTGTGTCTACTTTGGTTCGGTAAAGACCAGACAGAGATCCATGGATGGTAATCAAGTTTGCGGCACTCGGAAGAACACCTCAGAAATGGAAAGCAGCTTCCCCCGTTCCCCCCCCTTTCCTCCTGCGGCCGCCTTACTCGAGTCGAAGTTGCCATTTGGAGAGCTCCTGCTCCTGTGGCCTGCCTGTGCTTGTGCTTGTGCTTTCCATCTCGACGGGATCATGCTCCTGCTGCTCCTGCTGCTGCACCTGCTGGCTGCCCTGTGAAGCGGCAGGCCTGGCCCCACCTTTTCCTTCCTCAGTGCGTTCTTTCTTTCCATTGCCCGCGTTCCCGACCATCCGAAGTTCTGATTCGTCGTGTGTCTCCACGCAGACCCCACATCCCTGGGCCACCTCTTGCAGCAGGTGCAGCACACTGTCTGAGCTCCTGTTCTTTCCACGGCGACACAGACTTGAGAACGGGAAGGAACACTGAAGCAGATGTGACTCGGGAAAGGAGGCAGGAGAGGAAAGCGAAGCAGATACGGGAAACAGGAGACGGGACACACGCAGTCGCATCACCTCCTGAGTCCTGGCAATTACCTGTCCTTTCGCACACGTGCAAGTCCAGGTCCAAGTGCATGCCGTGACTGACTAACCAACTGGGCAGTCAGTCAGTCCAAGGTACCTTACCGCGACACGACACGACACGACACGACACGACACGACTCACCTGGTTTTGCAGCCCTTGGTCATTTCCCTCAGCAGCAACCCTTTATCGGTGATTCGGTGCTGCTGCTGCTGCCTCCATGCGCGATCGGCCTGGCGGATAACCGAGCCGGCAGAATTTCCCCATGTTTTTCATTCTGCCCTCGTCCTCGTCCCAGGCTCGCCAGGCCATGCCATGCCATACCATTCCGCGCCATGCCCACGTCCAGGCCCAGGCCTCGTCACATCATCCGAGCCGAGAGTCAACCATCGATCGTCCAGATCGCGACCGCTCAACACACAGACGACAATTTATTGTTATTTTTGAACAGCAACACGAATCAATCAAGAGAAACAAGTCCAAACACACACGGCATGATACGATAGAAAACATCAACGGCCGAAAGTGCCGCTCATGACGGAGCCATGACTAAACGGCCCTCGACCCTCGCCCTCCCCACGTCCACATCACACCGCTGTCTGTCCGTCACAACGCTCCTTGCTCGATTGCCCTCGCGGCTCTGTCCCTCTACCCCGCCCTAAACCTCATTTCGAAGGATTCCCGGCGCTGAGCAAGCCTCTTCTGGACAAGCCCTGCATCGATCTCTGTTAGCGCTACCACGAACTCAACTGCCTGACGCATGCGCTTCATGCTTTGGCATTCGCCGGTCTGGACTGCACTCAATTTTCAGATTTTCAGAACGCCCTGCGCTGTTCGGTATACGAATAGTACTTCGTACGGACGGACCGGACTGCACTTGTCACTTTTTGACAGCCATCCATACTCGTCCATCAAGGCCCTGAGTAGTATCATCCATGCTAACGCAGCACCACGCACTTTATTCAATATCGCGATCACCATCGTCTGTCAATGCCGCTCCAGTTTATCACAGAAATAAACAGCGAAGCTGTCAGAATTTTTCGCCTTGTGGGACACCAAGCAGCGAAGGGCCCTGCATCACGCAACCTAGGAACGCAAACGATACCCTCGCAACTCAGCTCCTGGAATCCTGCTGGACTGGACCCCTTCGACCCCTTCCCTTTCAGAGTGGGGGAAGGGGATCCCACGGCCCTTTTTTTGCTTCTCCCAGACTCCCACTTCTTCTGCCATCCAGTCTCGGCGAGGGGAATTTGCTCCATGCCCACGGCACCGCACCGGCACCGCGCCGCACCGCACCTTCAGATTGTCTCATCGAAGCTGCACGAAGAAAAATATCACCTTGTTTGACCTGCCATGCGGCGCGTGGCTGTCTGGCTCTGGTCTGGCCTCTCCACCGCCACGAATGGCGCAAACTGAGTCACTTCGCCCTTCGCCGCCGGTTTATTGTTCGTCTGCCGATGAATGAGCCGCTACTCTTATCTACACATTCGCGAGCTCCACGTACCCTCGCGTCTGCGCCTGCGCCTACATCTACAGTACGTACGTCCGCGCCTGCGTCCGCGTCCACGTCCATTGTGCCCTGGTCTCCGGTCTCCGTCCCCCGTCTTGTTCGTCCCGAGTCACCTGTGGGCGCTATTCCCGATTTGGTGATTCGCACCCAGGTACCTTGGCACTCAGCGCCAGAGACGAGACCACCTAACCCCCAGCAGGCACTGAACGTTTGACGGAGTCCGATGTACCCGCCGTACTTTGAACGACGCTCGCTCTCGTCTATCTCGAAAATGGCTTCCAATGTCAAAAGGGAACAACAGGGGATGCCAGACGGTGGCCCCGAGCCGAGAAAAGCTGAAGACGGTGCCTGGGTTTGCGGCATCCCGCAGTGTCGATGCTGTGCATTGCGCAAGACGGCAAGTCATCTGATCAACGAAAAGAAGCGTGGGGCCAGCCAGAGGGACTCGCGCCATCAAAACGCCTCTATTGGCCCAACATGTGCCTATCACAGCCCTCGACAGCCGACATGGACGGTCTCGGTCAAGGTCAAGGACTCCAAGGTCGCGCCCAACTGACAAGGAGGCCGTCTTGGATGTGAGACGGGCCCGAGCAGAACCTTATCACCACGACAGGCACCCTCCTTCCTGCTGCAGGACGGTCTTCTGATTGATTCCGCGATGCTTCCTCGCCTTCTCAAGGTTGTCGTGTGTTGCCCTGAGCGATAGTTCGTCTGCTATTTTTGACCCCAAACTACTGCGTATTGCGTTTATCAGCTTGAAATTACGTCGTATGCCTCGATGAAATCTTCCATGTCGGCGCTCCCGACGGGCACATCCGCGCACAAGACTTGCCAAAAAGTCAGAACCCCGGCATGATGCAGGCCAATTTTCGACGTTCAGCAGGACGTGAGTGGCAGTGGCCCAGGGGAAGGGACCCGGGGCGGGCTTTATCTTGGGAAGAAGAGGGCAAGGGGCAGGGGAGGCTTGCAAGTGTCGTCGTCAAGTCACTTTGTACCTCCCTGCCCCAGCACGGAGTAGCTTTGGTGGTGCTTTCCAGGGCAGTGAGGAGTGCTAAGTATCCCGCAGGTACATCCGTACATACAAAGTAGGTATGTGAACGGAGCCCAGGCGGGGTAAAGACGGTGTTGCAACAACCTGGCAGTCGCACAGGAGAGGGGAAGAGTCGTGTCGAACTCGACTGTGCCGTCGATCCCTCCTCTCCAAAGCCCAAGCAAGACCTACCTCAAGACTGCGCCGTTGCTTGCGACCAGTACAACCCCGCGGAATACCAACTTGCGAATTCCGTGTCTTCTTGCAGTCTACATCCCCCTAACTTCGCAGACGATATACGAATACGTACAAAGGGACAGACAGCCGTTCGGCACTGCTGCTATCTATTACCCATCCGCTTGCAAGGGCCCGAGGTGAACGACTCGCGCGCCGTCTCGTCTGGAGCGGCTGACCTGGAGCTCAACCCCCTCGCTTTCGCACTCCTGCTGCGCTTCGTCACGCATCTGCTGCACTTCTGCGCTGCAGATCACTCCCTGACTGCGAGATACCTACCAACGCTTCGTGCTGCTTCCCAACAGCCGCAAAGCTTCTAGCCGCCTCTTGATCGCATCACCACTGCAACAGTGACCTACCTGCCAGACGCATCCAAGCAGTTTAAGCTTCAGCTCCAGCTCCAGAACCATCCGACAGCCGACGCGCCACTGCAGCATACGCGCGACCTGGCGCTTGCAATCTGACGACCTGTTCTCTACCGGGCTCCGGCCTCTGCTACCCACGCTACAGCCTTGTCTGGACCGCCAAAGTCCGACGACAACCCGGCCCTCTGCCCGCTTACGTTCATCTCGTCCCGACTTCATCATCTTTGCCCACCCCGGCCCCTTTCCCAACGTTTATCACCGACGTCATACTAGAAATATTTGGCACCGCCCTTATCGCCATTCAATCCGTCTGCAGCTCACCGGAGGTCAATATCATAACCGCGTGGGTATTTCAACGGCTTGCAATCGGCAACTATCCCTGTAGTGCGGCGTCGAGGCACGGCACCTCGCACCCCGTCGCATCTCATCGCTCCCAATGCCGCGATCAAGTTTCTCAGATAACCCGTTGCTGCGGGTGTCGCGGCCCGTCTCAGCGTGTTCGCGATGTGAGTACCATGTTCGCGCGGCTGACTGCTTCTACTTCATGCAGAGCTAACATTGCCCCACAGGTCGAGCCGCAAAGGTCAAGGTACATTTGATCCTCCTCAGCTGCCCAGCCTGACGTATCAAAGGGGAAATGCTGATGAATAGGTTTGCTACTCTAGTGTGATGGCAAGCTTCCAGCTTGCACCGCCTGTGAGAAGGCTGGCCGTGAGAATGAGTGCTCCAGTGCTAACGACCAGTTTGCCCGAGGCAAAGAAAGGAGGTACGTTCTCCAATGAGTCTTCATCAAGGCACGGATGGCTGATGAATCGCAGCTACGTCGCCGCATTGGAACTGCGAATCGAGAAGTTGGAGAAGCGCTTAAAGTTCGCCCAAAATCGGAAGGCTTCGGTCAGCAATCACATTAACGACGAAGCTGCTCCTCCGGCCGATCGCAAAGACTCATTAGCCAACATCCGAGCTGCCATCCACCGAAAAGCCGCACGTAGTAGAGAAGAGTCTGATGTCAACGCTCTTGTATCCGATTTTGGCTTTCTGTAAGATGTTCCCATGGCTCTGCTTCGTTTTCCTCACTGACACCCTAACAGCTCGGTCAACGCAACAACTCGTGATTTTGAGCCATCCCTCAGCAACATGACGTTTGCTCGCTTGGTGTTGGCAGCAGCGACTAATGACAAAGTTCCTGATCCGACGGAAGACAGTTTCCCAACGAGAACGGACGCCGCGGCCACCATCGACTACTACATGAACAACGTTCATGCCCTGTTTCCCTGCTTCCCCAGGGACCATGTTTTCAACGTTTTGGATGCGTTCTATCAACAAGACGAGAGAGTGAAAGAAAAGCTTCAGGACTCCGACTACTGGTTGCTGTACATGGTCCTGGCCATCGGCTACTCCGCCCAAAGCAGAAACAAAGACGACGAGTGCTATCGCCGTGGCCTTGACTTCGTCGCTCGAGCATTGCCGTTTGCCGATAAGGCGCTGATGCCCGGTTACCCAACACAAATCTCATCCCTCATTCTCTTCACCCAGTACTCGATGCTGGATCCGGCTCACTTTGACAGCTGGTATCTGATTGGGTTCGCAAGCAGGGCAGTAGTTGACTTGGGATTCCACCAAGACCCGCCTCAGCTGCAGGTTCCTGACAAAAACGCCCAAGATTTGAGAAGGAGAATGTTTTACTGTGTGTACGCGCTTGACAGGTAGGTTCCTTCTCCATTTTGCTCTATGTAATACCTTCTGACAATGAGCGTAGAACAATCAGTATGAGCCGCGCCCGATCATTCTCGTTCACAGACGATTCGGTAAACGTAGAGTACCCGAGCCCCTCGGCACCACCATCCGGGGCCATCACTGGAGCTCAGTCTGCCGATCCCGCGCTGCTTCTGTTCCAGCTCAGACGCGTTCAATCGGAGTGGTATCAAACCCTGCACCAGGGAGATTCAGCGCCGCTCCCCGATCCTGCTTCTTTCATCTGGCAGATGTGCCTTGAGATGAGAGAGTGGCACGAAAACCTGCCCGAGAAGGACAGTCTTCCGGCTGGCATTCGGGAGCTCTTTGAGCTGGAACTGAGGCATAGCTACGTCTATTGCCTCGCGCCTAGTGATCGCTCTCCTCACCTAACCGACTACGCCCGAAAGCTGATCTTCGAACACGCGATTGCATACATGAACACCATTCATGCTGTCGTCCATAACTCCGTCAACCCGGCTTTCTACACATCCCTTGATGCGCTCAAGGTCTATTTCGTGGCAATGCAGTTCTTCACTGTCTTCAGCGCTGCCCGCGAACTTCTGCTCTCTGAACAGCGCATCATACCGCCCATCACACGCCCAGGGACAGCACCTCCTCCTCCTTTACCACACCGTCAAATGGGTGGCGAGGATAACGTAGATAGGAGCATACGATGCTTACAACAAGTTGTGGAGACGCTCGGGAAATTCTCCGAGAGGTTTGATATTGCTTCATCTTTGAAGGATGGGTTTCAAAGTATATCATCGGAGTTGTTCTCGTGGCTACAGGTCCGACGACAAATGAGAGATCAGCAACCGCAACAGCAGCACCATCAACATCAGCAACACCAACAGATGCCTCCCGGCCCGTCGCCGCCGCAGCCTCAACATCCCACCCATCCACCTCATCCTCATCCGCAGGTGCTCATGACACACCCGCAAATGCAGATCCCGGGCATGATGCCGCAGCCTGGGCAACAGCCAATGATGCAGTACAGATGGGTTGGTGATGGCTCGGGTCAGATGATGCCGGGCGGCCAACCTGGCCCAGGCGGGCCCCCTAGATGAGATAGTGAGTTAGACTGGTAGTGAGTGCGTCGGCGCGTGGGTTAGAAAAGTACACCAGGACACCCTGTATTCTTAGATTATGAAGAAATGCTCAAAGGATTCTTACCACAATTTTGCTGTTGCTCTTGCAGGAGTAGAGTTCTTGGTAATACCAGAAGCTTCGAAGGTCCATCTAAACTTCAGCCCAAGCAACGAAGCCGCTGCCCCTCATGACCCTGTGCGTATGCCATGCGCCCTCGATGGAATCGGCCTTGACCAAGGACTCGCTTCTCCTTCGGTGCTTGAACAGGTGTCTGTAGAGAAGTTTACGAAGAGTTCGCTCGTCGTCGTTGTTGCTGTCGGAGTCCTCGAATTCCTCAACGGCCCGAAAGTCAGAAGTGTGCACCCCGTTAGTAAAAGCCTTTGCACATATAGTACGATCACGACATCACGAGAACAGTTAATTGGGAAAGAAGACATTCATTCAGATGGACTAGTCTACCTGCATCCTGCCTCACCTCCCTGCTGGTGGCGAGCCAGCATCCTCCGCCACGAAAACTTTGGTTGCCAGTGTCTATAGACTGGCCAGAGAAACCTTCCGATATCTGTTCCTCCACGAGTAACTGCCCCCTTCCTTGTTGTGTCATGTCGATCGAGGTATTCGGTGAATGGGTGCCATTGGTGTCTACCGCAACCGGCGCCTGAACCGGAAGTCCTGGGTTAGACAGAGGCGATAATATGCAAAGCTGATGAGGACATGCTTGTATGGCATGGTGCCAGATCTGACCTCCAATAATTGGCCACGAAGGCCGGGTGAGCACAGTGAACTTGAGTAGTCGACAAGACGGAAGGTGCCATCCGGCAGATAGGCAGTCTTTTGTTGTTCTGTCCTGACCATGGCGCAACGCTAATATTTGGTGACGAATGCCCCTCCATTCGGCGATGACCACAAACATGTTTGCGGCCGCTCTCGGCACTGTACTGAGCGGGACGCGGAGTTGCGGTTGTGAGATGATGTACATGAAACGAAATACGAGGACATGTCGCTGGAGGTCGGGGAGATCTCAGGCTATGGTGCCAGGTGTCGTTGTGCATCAGAGAGCGTGCGCTGGGCAGTTTTACGTCGGCCGGGACAGAAAAGAGGTAAGTGAGCCATACCCAGGACCAGTCTCAGCTTTTTCAATTGAATAGAAAACACACGAGGTGATATTCCTGTTGGTTGGGCTTTTGAAAGGGGTTACAGCCCGGTATACACCGAACATAAATGACGGGAGTCCGTACGTGACGGGAGCAAACAGTCCCTTGCTTGCTTCCATCAGGGGTTGGGCATGAGCCGGTGAAAGTAGTAGGGCATGAACCCTTCAGGAAAGTGAGGAAGAGAATGGCCGAAGCCATCAGAACAGCTGTGAAGTGGTGTGGTGTTGTGAAGGTTTGCAGGACCAGAGATGACGGCCGGGAAAACCAGAGCCATTCCAGTCCATGCGTGCTGAATTGTGATTTCAAGATCAACGAGATCTTTTCAATCGGAGTGTGCCTTCGGTGTCCCAAAGAATGGGGAGCCGGGTGTGCCGAGACCGGTGTGCAGTCGATGTAGGTTGGGTACCAGGGACGTGTTTTCAACTACCATGAATGGTAGCAGAACAGGGTGCCAAGGGACCTCCTTCCGTCGAATGATTGACCGAGGCATGAAGATGTATGAGGTGCCAAGGACATGCTTTGAGTACCTTGTAGAACAGAAAGCAGGGTACCAAGGGCTTTAATGGATTTGCTGTGGTTGTCCATTATAATCGCTTCGGTTTGCGTCGCCAATCTGTCCAGTGTCAAAGAAAACCAACGACACCAGCCAGGAACGGCATTAGTCAGTCAGTCAGTTTGGCGGTTGCAGTGAAGATCGATTGTAACGGTTGAGACACAGGGTCCGGCGGAATGCAAGCATAAGCAGAAAAAAGAGTTGTAGAAAGAGAAAAAAGGGTTGCAGAGCATACCCCCTACTCCATTCTCGCCACACTGAATCGCCGGCCGAAGTTTGTTGATGAAGACAGGGACGAACGCATACGAACGTCGTCAAGGTGAGATCCCAAGGCGCTATAGCGTGGTCTCGGATTGATAGGGTGAACGAGCAAACCTCTCGAGTTGACTTGACGAGGAAGATTTGCTTTGTCGAACAGTTGAGCGCGGCATTGCTCGGGTGGGACGGGTCTATCCGTCGAAGGATGAGAGCAGAGTCTCGAAATAGTGATGAAGTAGGAAAGGCGAAAAAGCGTTGCAAGACTTTGGATAGGATGAACCCACGCGCGGAGGTCGAGGGAGGAAAGTCGTGCGCAGCCTGGGGAAAGCAGTTTAAGGTCATTGCTAAGGACCATGAGACATTCAGAGCGTCGTGAGTTGTCTAGCGGATGGATCTAGCAAGACGTTAGCAAATCGTCGTTTGAGTAAAGACAGGTTAGGTTTGGAGGAGTAGAGATGGCTGGGGAAAGATCGTCGCATCCTCTTGAACCAAGCAGACGAAAGCATTTGGAAACCGATGTTCAAAAATCATGCGGAGGACGGGGAAACAGGAAAGAGAGAACTTCTGCTAGCAGGAAGGGTGCCGTGAACGTACCTGAAGGTGCTTGCAGATAGGCGGACTGGCAATCCTCCCATCAGACCTGGCGGAGAACAGCAGGAGCGAAGATAGGATAGTGTCGTCATTGTTTGAGTGAGTAAAAGTTTTGCGTACGTCCCAAGCTCGGCCTCGTGCCCATGGGAGATCTGATTGGAAAAGAAAAAAGAAAAGATTTGGGATTTCACAGTTCGCACCCCTAGCCCGGCTTTCGCCCTATAGTGGTGGTTTTGGACGAGTCGCGGTACCGAAGTACGAGGAGAATGCCAAAAGGCAAACCCCGGCAGCAGACGACAACGCCCTGGACGGCAAGCGTCCTCGACCTACTTCGTCGATGGGTTTGGTGAGATGGTATTGCGGGCGCGTGGATCGGAGGATCGTGAGTTGAGAAGGCGCGCTTGATCGGATTCGCGAAGGAGGAGTGAGCGGAAGGAGGGAAAAGAGAGGAATAGGATTACTCCCCCTTCCTGCCGAGGGCAAGAAGGGGCAGCGACGTGGTTGTGATCTGATGCGACTCTTGTGATGTGTTGTTGCGGTGAAAGTGAAGGGAAGAAAGAAGGTTGAGTTGGATGGAGGACGGGGAGGAAGAAGAGAAGGTGAGGTGGGAGGGAGCAGGAGAAATCGGTAGTAGGTGTGGGCGGGCTGAAAGGTACTAAAGAAGATCGAGGACCGCCTCGGGCGGTGGAATTAAGCGAGGCGGTCGCGCAGTGAGGTGAAAATTCTTTCAGACTAGTTTGGGAAAGAGCTCGGTGGTCGTGGGAGGTAGCTGCCTGTTGGTAAGGAGGCACCGAAGGCGGGTGAGCGAGACACGTCACCCAGGTGAAGGGGCAGGAGGTGTGGTCCGACTTCGCTGGAAGAGATACAAAACAGCCCGAAAGTCGAACTGAATAGACGAGAAGAGGCTACCTGATTTTCCTGCGCACTCGATGACTTCGATGAGGAAGATGGTGATGGTGACGGCGATCATAGGCCCTTAATATAGAGTATGTGCAAACCTAAGGAAAGGCAGTCTCTCTGGCATAGGGAAAAGGTAGGGAGTCTCGACGAGAACACGCGTCATACTACGCCGAATCAAGTTCGATCAGGAAAGCCACTGTCATCCCTCAAGCATTTCGAACATCCAAAGCTTTCCGCCCGAGGCACTTCAGACTTCCGTCATCACCCATAGGATCAAGCGAAGGTGGTTTAGCAAACGAATGATTGGATTTATATACGATGTATCAGCACGAAAACCATGCCAACAGAGGGAAAAACTGTTCAATATGTACAAGAAAGGTTCGTTCTTAGAAAGGGAGAAATGCTCTCAAAGGATCCCTTTTATCCCAGCCAATGCAGTCTTTATTTCTTCCATGTCTTTGTCGTCATTCATCCCCTTCTCACAGCGTCATCGCCTCCATGGGTGGAAGCAACCAGGAAGCTCTCCGCCTCTGGAAACGCTTACAGGCACTGGGAGTACCAGTCGTTGACCTTAGAGCAGGTGTAAGGCGAGACACACGTGGTCGGGCCGGTCCAGCCCTGGCCGCCGCACTGCTCGTACTGCTTCGCGCCGGTGCCGGTGCCGGGGTTGGCGGTCGAAGAGGTGCGGGCGGTGCTGGTGGTGCTAGTCCTGATGGTGGCGGAGGTGGTGGTGCCGGGGTCGGCGCTGTTGAAGGTGGAGCCGATGGGGCCGAACTTGATGTTGGAGAACTTGACGTTGCTGTTGGGGACGCTGGACTCGATGTCGGCGGGGACGCCGGAGGTGGTCGGGCAGGTGCCGCGGTCGGCGCCGGGCTGGCCGGCCTTGTCGACGGGGTAGGTGGAGTCGAGCCAGAGCATGTTGGCGTAGTGGTCGTCCCAGAGGGAGAGGACCAGAACCATGGGCGCGGCGACAGCCTTGGACATCTGCGCGAAGCCGCCGCGGAGGTTGAAGACGTCGGTGTCGCCGAAGACCTTCTTCTGGGCGGAGCAGAAGGCTGGGGTGAGGGAGTTGCCAGAGTTGCCGGAGATGGTCGACTGGGAGTTGGGGACGACCTTGCCGTTCTGGACGTAGAAGCGCTTGATCTCAGAGAGGACACCGTCGGAGCCCTTGATGAACTGGGTGACGACGCTGAGCTTCTGGGTGGTGTCGATGGTGTTGCCGGAGCCCGGGCCGTAGAAGGTCTTGTTACCCTGGCGGTAGGAGTTGAAGTCGCAGCCATCGGGATCGCAGTCGCCGGCGTAGCGATCGGAGGAGTAGGTTCCACCGCAGGCGTCGCCAACACAAGAGTGGTAGGCGTTGTTCTGGCAGGGGTGAGGGGTGTAAGCGGTGGAGATCTTGTTGGCCTCTGTGAGAATATGTCAGTCAACTGTCAGATATTGAAGCTGGCTGAAAGTTCGCGTACCCCAGATATCCATCTCAGCGCAGCAGGCACCGAGGGAGCCGACACCGCCGTTGGCGTCG